GGCAGTATAGATCTGAGGAGAGCTGCTGCAGGGAGCCTTAGGGAGGCTGAGGAGCGTCCTCTAGAAGGTTCCAGAGGTAGGGGTCCGACTGCCATCTTGGGTCCCTGCCTCTGACCTGTAGCCCTTTCCCCCGGCTCTGGAGGCAAAACTCTGCCCTACCCCGCGCCAGCCTTCCCCAGTCCTGCCTGCTGGGTCTGCTGGGAGGCTGGGACCACCAGGAGCCAGGCTTGGCCCCAGATTCCAGGAGTTCGAGGGTTTTCTGGCCCAGCTGGCACCTCCCTGGCAGGAACAGGCCTGTTCTGAGCCCGCGCTGATTGATCTACCCAGGGCTCTGGCCGTCACCCTTGTCCTCAGCTCCCTGGCCCCATCCATCTGTGGGGGGCACACGGGCTGGAGCAGGGGGTGGAGATGGCCCACCCAGGATGTGCTGGGCCCAAGGGCTGAGTGAGAGGGTGCCCACCCAGCCAGGTCAGGAACTCCAAGCCTAAGCGGCCTTCCCAGGGTGACCTGGGTCTCTCTTGCTCTGTGCTCTAAAGGGACCCAGCCTGCTGTGTTGTGTTATCGGGGCAGATGGCTTGGCTCAGGGCCAGAGGGATCTCTCTCCTTCCCTCCTCCTTACCTCCCCCACCAGGATTTGGGGCTAGGGGGGAGGCTGGGGTGGAGGGCCATTTAGCCACAAGGGCTCTGGCCTCTCCCAGATAAAAGGAAGCAGATGGGCTTCAGCTGGCAGTTCTTTCCTCTGCCTGTCAGGCCTTGTTAAATATTTAAAATGTCAAGGCCCCTGGGAACCTGCCTGATTCGGCCACAGCGGCTCTGGAGCTTGCCCGGTGCCTGTGGAGGGGCGGGCATGGAGAAGGGCAAGTGCCCAGGTGGGTGGCCAGGCCGCAACAGAGAGAGCCAGCCAGGCCTGATCTGCCTCCTGAAGAATGAGCACTGTGAGGACTACCCCTCCCCTTTCTAAGCCCAGGAGCCCTGGCCCCCAGCACACCTGCTAACTTGGCCCTGGAGTGCTCACCCAGATGGCCCCGCTCCTGCCCAGACACAGTGGCCTCAGCTTTGGGCCCCTCCCAAAGCTGCACCCCAGGCCCCACATCAATCCCCTGCCAAGGTGTGCTGGCAGATTGGTGCTCTGGGGAGGGTGGGGAGTCCGGGGAGGTGCATGGTGTACTGGGGGAGGAGATTTTGCCTGTTCCTGGCAAGAAGCACATCAACGGGCTCAGCCTTTGTAGCTATCCAAGAGGATTCCAGAGGCCAGGGAACCTGGGTCTTGGGCCAAGCTCAGTGCAGCGGTAAGCCCACCGGCGGGGCCCAGGTCCCAGCCCTTCCCCTGTCTGACCTTTACCAGGAGTCATGGAAAGGAGAGCACGGATTATCCAGGAACCGCACGATGTGGTCCTAATCCAATTCTGATGGCATCTGGCCTCTGCTCTGGGTAGGGCGCTCATCTGTGTCCATGCCAACCAGCCGGCCCCTGCCCCAGCACTTTGGACCTGGGCCACTGTTGGGGGCCTGCTGCTCAGGCACATGCTTGAAACGAGAGGGACTGCAGCTACCTTCTGGCCCCCACATGAGTACCTGAGCAGCTGTCGAGACCCCAGAGCCCGACAGGAAGGCCACAGCCTCGGGCTGGTGTAGGCCAAGGGAGAGAGAAGCATTGCTAGAGCATCAAGGGCAACTCAAGGCCAAGGAACAGGCTGACGGTGGGTGGGAGGGAGGGAGAGAGGGAGGGGAGAGGGAGGAAGGAATGGAGCCAGCTCACTCCTGGGGAAGGGGCCCCAAGGGCCTGGCTTCCCTTGGGGATAAGCTTGCATGTGGGGGTGAGGCAGGCAGGATGCAGACTTACGGTGCCATGGGGACCCTTGCCCTTTCTCAGGCAGGGATTGTGGAAACGCTGAGTGTCTGGGAGGGCCAGGGTTCAAGTGCCTCCCTAGTACTGACCCCACATGTCATCTGTCTTATAGCTTAAAGACAACAGGCCTCAGTCAGGAGTGGGGCACAAGCCCTCAGCTAGGACCCCAGCCCCTAGGACCTGAGGTCCTGAGCTTCTCCCAGACACCCAACTGGAAAGTTGCAGTCTCCAGAAACTTGAGCCCCGGCAGGGCCCAGGCACCATGAGGCCCCGGGGGGAGAAGGGCAGGGACAGCTGCAGCTCGGCTAGGTGGGGGGCACAGGGTGTGTGATCATCGCCCAGCTGGGGAGATGGGCCAGGGCTGTGCCGGCGGTGGGCTTTGGCTCTTGTCAGGCCTTCCACCTCAGGTGGGCCCCGCCCTGCCCCTCCCCCAAAGCCATATTTCCCTGCCTAGTGGACACCCACCGTCCTTCCTCCCAAGTCCTTCTGCGCTCCACTTAGCACTTCCTTGCTCTCAAGTCGCCTGGGGGCCAGGTCCTGTGTGCCTTCCCCAAGCCAGCTGGGAGCACCCCATAGGCTGGGAACCCCGACCCCCCATCTGCCCTCCCGGCTTGCTCCCTGCCCCCTCAGGAGGCCAAAGGAGTTGGCGGTGACTGGGAACCGCAGGCCACCATCTGTCCACTAGGTGTCAGTGTGGGGCTGGACACTTGAGGGACAGGTCTAGAAGGAAGCCGCATCCTGAGGGCTGAGGGCTGAGGGCGGGCCCAGGGGACTGTGTCCCGTCTGCCGGCCTCAGAGGTAGGTGGCCAAGTGGGTATCTGGCCTTGGAAGGAGGTGGCCTGCATGTCAGTCCCACAGAGAAGCTTCTGGTAGCTTCAGGCATGGGCCTGAGGGGACTCATGCTCTAGAGGCAGAGGCCCAGCAGGCTTTGGTGCAGGCCTGGGTAGGAAGTGGGGTTGTCCCAAGAATGAGAAGTAAGGTAAGGGCCCAGCTTCCAAATGCCAGAGCTCACCCCTTTGTGGGTGTTGATTCTGAGTCCTTTGTCCCAGCCTCGACCCAGTAGCTTGTCTGGGATGTGGAGGGGGCCTCCCAGGGCTCTGAAACTATTTGGTCAGGCCCCTGTCAACCCCTCAGCCCTCCTTCACCGTGCTTCATCTGCTCCGGCCACAAGGGGTCCCCGGTGGGACTGGCTTCCTCATGCTTCAGCGTGGTGGCCAGGGGGCAGCGCGGCCTCAGCATGAATCACTGACAATCCCATTGACCTTATAGATGCTTCACCAACTGCCATGTATGCAGCTCCTATGGGGACCCACGTCCCATCCCTGCCCTTCACTGTGACCCCCAGCTCAGAGCTCAAGGTTGGCACCGCTGTGGGGTGTAGGGAAAGCGTTAGGAAGGAGCCAGCTGTCTCCGGAGCACGGGCCCTGAGAACACAGGGCTGGGGATAGTTCCTATGCAGCTCCTAAGTGCCGTGGGTGCCAGGCCCGTGCTCAGCAGCGTGGGCGAAATGGACGAGGTCTTTGGGCTGCTAGAGCCGACCCTCCCCCAGGTCCTGTCAGATGATAAAGGCTCTGTGTCCCGCACACACAGTTTGACCACGCCACCCTCTTGGTGGCTTAGCATCTGTGAGGCTGCTCTCGTCCTGACCTGGGGTCAGGTGCACAGGGTAGCAGAGGAGTCCTGGGCTGCCCACAAGAGCTCCAACTCATGGGTACGAGGAGGCCCTTTCCCTCCCTGGCCTCAGTTTCCTCCTCTGGACCCTGGAGGGATGGTATGAGCACGTCGGCCCACTCACAGCCCCTGTGCCCTCCAGCCCAGTCTCGTACCAAGCCCTGCACCCGTGGGAGAACCTTGGCAGTCTCTTCTCCTGTCTCCAGATGACACTTGGCCATCCCTGGCCCAGCTGGGTCCCCTCTGCCCACCCCCCATGTTGGGTGTTACTGCATTCCTCCCCATCTGCCCTTTGAAGGGACTCAGCGTAGCCCATGGACGTCCCTGGGCCTATCCGGGGGAGGACCCGGCCCTTCGGCACACCAGGGGCCCCCCAGGGCCGTGCGCTGTGTGGTGGCAGAGAGTCGTCCAGGCCAGGGCAGGTTGGCCTTCCGGGGGCTTTCAGGCTGGAGGGCGGGGCGGGCGCTGCGGCCGAGCAGGGCAGGGAGGGGCAGGGCCTGGCGCGGCTGCTCTCCCATCCTCTTCGTGTCCCTGCACCACACAGGCCTGGCCAACAATGCCAATGACTTGGAGAAGCGCAGGCAGATCTACGGGCAGAACTTTATCCCTCCCAAGCAGCCCAAGACCTTCCTGCAGCTGGTGTGGGAGGCCCTGCAGGACGTGACCCTGATCATCCTGGAGGTGGCCGCCATTGTCTCCCTGGGCCTTTCATTCTATGCGCCGCCAGGGGAGGAGAGCGAAGGTGAGCAGGGGCGGGCCCGACAGGAGGGACGGAACGGGACCTGAGCCAAGGGGCAACGGCGTGACTCTCCTGCCACCCCGTCCTTCCCTGCTGTCCTCGGGCCCAGCATGCGGGAATGTGTCAGCTGGGGCAGAAGACGAAGGGGAGGCCGAGGCCGGCTGGATCGAGGGAGCCGCCATCCTGTTGTCGGTCACCTGCGTGGTGCTGGTCACGGCCTTCAATGACTGGAGCAAGGAGAGGCAGTTCCGGGGCCTGCAGAGCCGCATCGAGCAGGAACAGAGGTTCTCCGTCATCCGGGATGGCCAGCTGCTGCAGGTCCCCGTGGCCGCACTGGTGGTGGGAGACATTGCCCAGGTCAAGTACGGTGAGTGCACCCAGTGCAGGCCTCCCCACCGCCTCGCCCCAGGAGCATGTGGGCCTTCACCTACGGGGCCGGGGGGGGGGGGGGGGGGAGGGAGGGTTGCTGTGCAGGGGCTGAAGGTTGGGGCTCAGGCTGGAGACAGAGCCCCAGGAGGGCAGGATGACAAGGCTGGGGTGGGTGAATCCTCCCCAGAAAGGAGGAGACCTCTCCTGGGGCAGGGGGGAGGCAGCAGGGAGGAAGGCTACCTGGACCCACAGCCTGTGGTTCCGGCCGCCTGGCTGGCCTTAGGAGACCTGCTACCTGCTGACGGCGTGCTCATCCAAGGCAATGACCTTAAGATCGATGAGAGCTCCCTGACAGGCGAGTCAGACCACGTGCGCAAATCAGCCGACAAAGACCCCATGCTGCTCTCAGGTGAGGCCTCAGGGCACTAGCCAGGCTGTGGGGAGGCCAGGATGCAGGCTGACACTGCCCCCCTGGACCAGCTCAGCCCTGAAGAGCCTTGGAGGCCACTTGGACTGGCCATCCCCTCAACCAGGGGCCTCCTGAGTAGCCCTTCTGGTCAGAGAGTCTGAAGATTTTGCCCCCCAAGAGGCCAGAGCAGCCCGTGGGAGGCATGACAGTGGTAGCTCAGCCACTGGGAAAGGAAATGGGTACTCCAAGCCCCGAAGGGCCCCTGATATCCTGCCAAAAGCCCCCCCCCCCCAGAGGGGTCAACATAGTGCCTATGCTCCTCCCCGGCCCAGACACTCAAGAAGAGCCAGTGGGGGTCGTGTTCCCTTTCCAGAAGGTTTTGGCTTAGCCCAGTGTTTATCCCAGTGGCAAATGCAGCATGCAACAGGACAGAGAGGCTGGAGGCCCCAGGTGGGCCCTGTGAGGCCTCAGCCTAGGCTTAGGGTCAACATAGCTTCCGGGGGCCTCCAGACACCGAGTCCCTGCTTCTGGGATTCCTGCAAGAGAACCTGTAGGTGTTCAGCATGCCTCCCACCAGAGGTGCAAATGTCCGTCTCGGTTCCTCTGTGTTGCCAGGTACTCATGTCATGGAAGGTTCTGGAAGAATGGTGGTGACTGCCGTTGGTGTGAACTCCCAGACAGGCATCATCTTTACCTTGCTCGGAGCCGGTGGAGAGGAAGAGGAGAAGAAGGATAAGAAAGGTAAGGAAACAGTGACCTCCAGCTCCCAGTGCCGACGAGGGGCTGACCCTCGCCCTGTGCAGCCCGCTCTTCCTTCTTTCATCCCCTGCTGGCCTAATCCCCTCCTCCAGCTCCAGCTCCAGCTCCAGGGAGAGCCAGCCCTCGGGGGTGGGAGGCTATACCCTCTCTTCTGATTCCTGCCGGGGGCCCCCTCTTCTGGGGCCAGCAGGTCGGGGGCCCCTCATTTCTGTGCAAGGCCAGCCTCCCTCGGGCAGCTATTCCCCGAAGGCTTTGGGAAGTGTGTGCCAGGGTAGGGGAAGTGCCCTGCCTGGGTAGGAATGGGGTTGGAGGGACAGGGGCCAGCCGCCTTGGCTTGGGAGAGTGCTTCGGGGACCTTGTGCCCACCCTTGGGTGTGCTCATTCCCCTTGGTAAGGTACTGAGGGCCCCGCCAACGTGGCAGCCAGGGAAATGTGGGGCATACAGCCAGAGACAGAGGGTTCCCAGGCAGAATGGACTGGACTCCCCAGAGGATGTCCAGGGCCAGAGGAAGCTGGGATGGGATGGGGGCCCTCACCCCAGGGGGAAAACAGTGTCAAGGGACAGATGTGTTCTGAGAGCCCAGCTCTGTAGCCACTCTGGCCTCCCTGGCACATGGCCATCCTGCTGCCTCCTCTTGCCGCGGCTCTGAGCCCCAGGCACGGCCAGTGTCTCCTTCCAGTCCTCAGGGCAGGTCTTACAAAACTACGGAGCAGTCCTCGGTGCCACCCCCACACCAGAGTCCCAGTCCCAGAGTCAGGACCCCATTACCTTCTTTGATTCAGGCCTGCACCAGCTCACGACTCACCTTGCACTAACCTGGGTCTCCCCTCAGGCTGCTCCTGCAGTCCAGTCAGGTGGGAGCAGAATTTTCTAGATGTGTGCCTCTGAGAGAATTCACTCGGGTCCACTAGAGGTACAGAGAACCTGCACGTGTGTGGGGAAAGCGTGTGCCGAAAGCCTGCGGCCACCAGCCCCACCCCAGTCAGTCAGGGCCCCTAGACCCAGAAAACAGGCAACAAGGGGGCAGGTCAGCATAAGGAAGAATGTGCTAGTGTCCCCAGCCCTAGGCTACCCTGCTCCTGGAGGCGGTGAGAGAGAGGACTCAGATGACCAGCTATTGCCTAGAAGCTTCCATTGGCCCTGTCCACCTTTGCCACAGCAAGCCTCCGCTCCCTGCAGGGCTCAGCCTAATTGCTCTCCACAGTGAGCACAGTAGGGTCCCTAGGCAGGCGTGCGGGTGGGTAGGTCAGCCCTGGGCCTCCGTCGGGGCTGGGCCGGAGTCCCCATCCCTCTCTCCGGGGAAGCCTAGCTGAGTGCCTGGTGTTCCTCCATCGACACTGTGACTTAGGAGTCAGAGGGGGCACCTTCACCAGCGGGCTTCCTGGAGGAGGGGAACCCTGAGGGGGGCCCCAGAGGGGAGCGGAGCCGGCCAGGTCCTCTGGGGAGGGGCAGCAGCACCCACATTATTCCCCACCAAGGTCTCAGCCCAAGGCCCCGCCACTGCAGTGGCCACGCCCAGCGCCCCCCCCCCCCCCCCCGCCCGGCCCTTGTCCTCACCCTCAACCCCGTCCGTCAGCCCGGTGCTCCCAGTCCACCTGCTGCCCTCCGACCTGTTTCTTGCCTTTTGGCCTTGACTCCTAGTCACCTTTCTACTTGGGGTGTCCTTCCTCCCCCCTTTCCCCTCCCTCGGCTCCTGTCTTCCCCTTCCTGTAGTGCTCATCCCACACCCCCCTCCCGCCCGCCAGAGGCCTCCCTGGGCCCTGTCTGCAGCCTCTGTCCTCTCTGGAGTTTTCAGCAATGACTCCTCACTGTGCTGTGTTGTCACCGTGTTAGAGTCTACGGGTGTCTCCTCTGCCCCCAGAAATCTCCTTGCCCTCTGAACCTCCCCGCCCTCACAGAGGGCCCAACCTACACCCCACCCCAGCTGGGAGGGGACCCCTCCCCGCTCCCTGGGACCCCCCAGACTAGACCCTACTGCCTAGGAGCCACCTGGCACCCTGTCTGCGTTCCTGGACGCCCAGTGACATGAGCTCTTGGGTGCTGGCTGACAGGTCAGCACACAAGCCCCTCCTGCCCCCCAGGTCAGTCATTTCTGGATCCTGGGCCAGCAGTGGTGTGGCTCCGAAAAGAGCTCCTTGACCTGATGCCCCACCCATGATGCCCTGGGAAAGATGAGGCCAGAGGAGCTGGGTGCAGAGCCTGACCCTGAGCACAGTGCTAGACTCACCGCCTTGGAAGCCACTCACTGCCACAGTCCCCAACACCCGGCTGCGGGCTTTGTGGTGGCAGAGCACGTTCATGAATGGCCACCCCCCACAGGTCCACCTGGGGCCCAGCGCATTCCACGCCCCTGTCCTCCCTCCAGTGCTAGGTGCCCAGCACCCAGGCGGGCACCGGAAGCTGGCAGGTTTCTAGAGTCTCGCTCCTTTGTCCCTCCAAAGCCCTCATAGAGCTAACTGCTGGCTGTGCGGCAGAGAGCTGACCTCTAGGCCAGTGGGGGCTAGGGACCACCGAGGTAAACGGCTCGTGCTGCTTCTGGGGACAATGCACATCGCAGCTTGGGGGCCCGGCTCAAGGTAGCAGAGCTGGGACCAGACACCCGGCCGCTCTAACTCCCCATGGTGGCAGCCTTTTTGGAAACCTCCCACTGCTGGCCGTGCATGACCCACGGTTTGTCCGGGGCTGGCTTTGAGGGTTCGCTGGAGGGCTGGGGACTCGGTCTGGAAGCCCAGAGTGTGGCGCCCATTTGCCAAGAGGTGGTCACAGGGCATCAGAGGATGCCTGGGGGGTCTGGAGCCCTCCCCCGCTCCCCGCTTTCCACCGTGCTCTCTGGCCTCGCTGTCTGTGTCCCCCTTGTCCTGTGTGCATGTGCCAGGACCGTGTGGATGTTCTCAAGTCTTCGCGTCTGTCGTTCCTCTTCCGTTGTAGGCAAGCAGCAGGATGGGGCGATGGAGAGTAGCCAGACCAAAGGTAATGCGCGCCCTGTGCTCAGGGTGGGGGGAGGGGGGGCGGAGGGTGTGGCAAGGGTGGGGGGGGCCGCCCGCCTCGGTTGCAGGAGCAGCACCCAGAGAGCAGGTGAGTGGGGCCGGGGGTGCCCATCTGCAGACCCTGCCAGAAGTCCGCAGAGATCACCTGTGAGCGGGCTTCCTGGTGAGGAGACAGGCTCAGGCCTGTGGGTGTCCCAGTTCAGCTGGACCTTTGAGGCAGGGTGACTGGGTGGCCATCTGACACCTGCTCTCCTCTCAGCCCGCATGCCTGGTAGGTGCTGCTACTCCGTGAGGGGATGAGGGTTTGTCAGTGGTCAGGTGCAGGTGCTGGGGATGCAAAGGTAGATAAAGTGGGGTCCCGGCTGTCAGGAAGGTCACGGTGCAGACACACAGACCCAGGGGCAAGACTCAAGTGCATTGTGGGGCCCGGGGGCCCAGAGACTAAGACAGGCTCAGACAAGGCAACTGGAGTTCAGAGGGTAGCGAAGGTGGGGTCAGGGGGCCGGCCCGATGGCTGTGGTCCCGGGCAATCGCTGGGGCACACGGCTGCAGTGGCCCAGCTGGGTGGGGGATTGGGTACCACTGAGGCCGTGGGTTCTGGCTTGAGGCCCCTGGGGAAAAGAAGCCATCGGTGAGTGGTCTCAGGCAGCCGAGGGGAGAAGGCTCCGGTGGGAAGACCGGAAGCAATAAGGAGCAGCTGACACAGTGGCGTGGCGGGAGGCATACAGGGGTGCTGTCAGGAGCGCCAAGAGCCCCACCGTGTGGGGCCAAGGGTGGTGACGGAGAAGGATGAGTGGTGGGGTCGGGTGCCCCCTCCGCGTGGGGGATGGACAGGATTACACAGGGTGCAGCTGGAGACTCCCCAGTCTTCGGAGTGTGTGAGGTGACAAGTGACAGAAGAGGGGTGGGGGGTATGCCACCACCACGTCGGGGCAGCATGAAGGGTGCAGGACCCCCTGGGGGAGCCGTGAGGGGGCCACCGGCTCCAGACCGAGAGCAAAGAGGCAGCCAGAGCAGAGTAGCGAAGGCCCCATGAGGAGAGAGAGGTGCAAGGCTTGCCCGGGGGTGCACGCTTGGTGAGCTGGGGCCTTGACGGAAGTCAAGGCGCCCACTCGAGAGGCTGCTGGGAGAGCAGACAGCCTAAGCAGGGAGCAGGGGAGAAGAGTGCAGGGGCTTCTTAGGCCTCCTGAGGAGAGCAGGGAGGTGTCTAGGACACCAGCGCGCCAGTGGGTCAGCTCAAGATTCTGGAACGTTCCCTGGGCCCCAGGCCTCTGTCAGGTATCAAGATTTGGGGCCTTATGTCTGTGTGCCCAAGTTACTTTCGCCTGAGAGGCCCCAAGAGAACCGCGTCTGCCCTGGCCGGGACAGCCCTGCAGCCTCCCACCCATATCAGGAGGGCCTGGGCCTCTGCTGAGGGGAGAGGAGGGGGGCGGAGAGCCCCTCAGAAGTCAGAGGACTCCCCGGAGCCCTGTTTCCTCTCACAGAGCGTGAAAGCCCCTTGTAGCTGCCACCTGGGCCCTAACCTTGGCTGTGGGGTTCCTCTGTGTGCAGCTAAGAAGCAGGACGGGGCAGTTGCCATGGAAATGCAGCCCCTGAAGAGCGCTGAGGGCGGGGAGATGGAGGAACGGGACAGGAAGAAAGCCAGCGTGCCCAAGAAGGAGAAGTCGGTCCTGCAGGGCAAGCTCACCAAGCTGGCCGTGCAGATTGGGAAAGCAGGTGGGGCCACCACTGGGCGCGGAGACGCTGGGCTCCCGGGCACCGGGCCGGGCTCTGGAAAGCAAGTGGGAGCGGGAAAGGGATGTTACCGGCCGTGTGGGCCAGGCAGCCAGGGGACCCACCCGGGGCCGGCGGTGGCCATCAGAGTCTGGTGCAGTCCCCAGTCAGGGAGCGCAGGTTCCGAACGTCCCGCAAGGCTGGGCCAGGGGAGTGGCGCCCCCGCCTCAGCCTCCCTTACGTCTGCCTCGCTCTTGCTCTCTCCCTCCCGCACCCCGCTCACTCCCCATCCTGCCCCCCCCCCCCCCCCCCCACCGCACCCCCCCCCCCCCCCCCCGCCGTCTGTGGCTCCTGTGGCCCCGGCAGGACTGGTCATGTCTGCCATCACTGTCATCATCCTGGTCCTCTACTTTGTGATTGAGACCTTCGTCGTCGACGGCCGGGTGTGGCTGGCGGAGTGCACGCCCGTCTATGTGCAGTACTTTGTGAAGTTTTTCATCATCGGCGTCACTGTGCTGGTTGTGGCCGTCCCGGAGGGCCTGCCTCTGGCTGTCACCATCTCCTTAGCTTACTCTGTCAAGGTAATGATAATACACGCGATAGGAAGGAGAATCCCTTGATACCAGGATACAGACCCGGAAACTGGACTTCGAAGCCATTAAGCAACTTGGCGTGACAAGGACTGGCGAAAATTTGGGATCGGTCAGGGGAAGTGGCAGGGGGGCTGAGCAAGGGAGCAGTGAGATGAGCTGGAAAGCAGGCAGGCGGTGGGTTAGACCTGGCATCTGCAGGATGAGGGCGGGAAGTTGAGGGTGCTGGCGTCACTTGCAGAAGTGTGTTGCAGGGGGCAAATGGGTGATCAGGACAGGGCTGAGGACACCGGGAGACAGTGGGTGGCAGGTGGCTGACACTGGGGCTGATCTGAGAGGGGGCCACGGGAGGCCCCAGGTGAGCTCCGGGGAGAGCGGCTGCCCAGAGTTGACCGCTTGGCCTGTCTGATGAGAGTCCTCCCATCCCGCAGCCCCTCCAAGCGGTGCCTCTGGGCACTGCTGTCAGCCCGTCAGCCCAGGGGTGAGGACGTGTGCCAGCTGACTGAGGCCCCCTGGCAGGGCCGAGCAGAGGCACACACGACATGCTGACGACCTCTTGCTCCCCTACCCCGTGGGCCAAGCTTTCTGAGGACAGCTGGTGACCCAAGCCCCCATCCCTGCCCTTTACAGAAAATGATGAGGGACAACAACCTGGTCCGTCACCTGGATGCCTGTGAGACCATGGGCAACGCCACCGCCATCTGCTCAGACAAGACGGGCACACTCACCACCAACCGTATGACCGTGGTCCAGTCCTACCTCGGGGACACCCACTACAAAGAGGTTCCAGCCCCCAGCACCGTGACCCCCAAGATCCTCGACCTCCTGGTCCACGCCATCTCCATCAACAGTGCCTACACCACCAAAATACTAGTGAGCAGAGAGCGGGCCGCAGGCTGGGCCAAGCTGGGGCGCATGGAGGAAGGGGGCCAGGCCAGAGATTGCCACGGAGCCGTCACCAGGGCCTCTCTCGGCTCCCTTGAGGACCTTTGGCCAGAGCTACGGGGGTCTCTGGGATGCTGGTCGGCCTCCACCTCATCTCTGGACTCCTGTCCTGGCTGCTGGGCAAGACCTGCAGCTTCTGGAAACCCTTCCAAGCCCAGTGCATGGTGGCAAGCCTGCCCATCTTGTCCCCGTGGAGGCCGTCCTCGGCTCCCAGCCACCACACCCTAGAGACAAGGTGGCCGCAGCCAGGCAGGGGGCCCCGGGCGCAGCAAGGAGGGTAGACGCGGGCCCCCTGTGCCATGCTGCTTCTCCTTTTGCCTCACAGCCTCCAGAGAAGGAAGGCGGTCTCCCACGCCAAGTGGGCAACAAGACTGAGTGTGCTCTGCTGGGCTTTGTCCTGGACCTGAAGCGGGACTTCCAGCCTGTGCGGGAGCAGATTCCAGAAGATAAGCTTTACAAAGTCTACACCTTCAACTCGGTCCGCAAGTCCATGAGCACGGTCATCCGCATGCCTGACGGCGGCTTCCGCCTCTTCAGCAAGGGCGCCTCGGAGATCCTGCTGAAAAAGTGAGCGGGCCCCGAGGGCCAGCCTAAGGGCCGGGTGCCCCGGAGCCTGGCGGCCAGCCACACAATGCGGGCTTCCAGGGTCACTATCGCGGTAACGTAGACGTAACGTCAAATTGGCCACGTTAATCCCTTGAAAACGTACTGCGTGGCGGCACTGAGTATGTCCCCAGAGTTGTGCACTGTCGCTGCGCTTGCAGAACGTTCTCATCACCCCCCAAAGGAAACCCCGTCCCCACTAAACAGCCACTCCCCCCTCCCCTCCCCAGCCCCTGACATTCTCCGTACGTGCCTGTCATGGAATCATACAACGTATGGCTTTTATTGAGCATAGCGTTGTCCAGGCTCATCCACGTCGTAGTGCAGATTGGTGCTTCGTTCCTTCTTGTGGCAGAATAATATTCCATTGTGTGGACAGACCACGCTTTCTGTATCTCTTCATCCTCTGACAGTCCCTTGGCTTGTTCCCACCTTTTGGCTCCTGTGAATCATGCTGCCATGAACAGGGGTGTGCACGTTTTTGTTTGAATACATGTTTTCAGTGCTCTTGGGCATATATCCTAGGCGTGGAAAGTGCTGGGTCCTATGAGAGCATAGTTTCACTTTTTGAAGGCACGAGGGCTCCTGCTTCTCCTCATTCTCATCAGCGTGTGTTAATCTGCTTATTATTACGATGACGATGATGATGATGGTTATAGCCAACCCTATAGGGGATGTGAACTGGGCTCTCACGGTGGCTGTGTTTGCACTTCCCTGACGACTAGTGATGTCGGCACCTTTCCACGCCCTCACTGGCCATTTGTGTGTCTTCTTTGGAGAAAAGCCTATTCAAATCCTTTGCTCATCTTTGATTTGAGTTGTTGTTTTGTTGTTTCGGGGGGTTTTTTGTTGCCGAGCTCTAAGAGCTCTCACTGTATGCCAGATACTAGAAGCTTAACGCATCCGATTTGTAAATATCTTCTCCCTCCCTGTGGGCTGTCTTTTCACTCTCTTGATTGCTTTCTTTTTTTTTGTTTTTTTTCTTTTCACCCCCTTGATTCATCCCTGGATGCACAAGTGTCTTCCAATGATGAAGTCCAGTTTATCCCTTTATTTCTTGTGTCGCTTGTGTAGGGTTTCTGTTAGAGGTGATGAAAATGTTTTAAAATTGACTGTGGTGACAGTTGCACATCTCTGTACATTTTAATTGGACAAATTGTGTGGTGTGTGAATTATATCCCAATAAAGCTGTTATAAAAAAAAAACTGAATGGGGGAGCACCCCACCCCCCCAAGTCCCCATCCTCCTGCCTTGCCCACCTGGCTCCTCACTTCCCGCAGAGCCACCTTCTAAGACACGAATGTTCTCCCCCAAAACTCTGCCCAGACACAGACTCCCCGGGTGCAAAGGCCACCTCCTCCCTGAAGCTGTCCTGCCGCATCCTGGCTTTCCGTGCTTCCCTTCTCCTCTGGCTAAAAGCCCGATTTCTGTAGTAGGGCTGTGGTTCTGCTCTTTGCTGGCATGTGAGCGTCAAGTTACTCCCCTGCCGGAGCCTCAGTTTCCTCCTACACGGAGACAACACAAACACTTACCTCCTAGGAAAGTTGTGAGACTTACATGAGTGAATCCACCAAAAGGCGCTCTCCTCGCCTACACAAGTCTGTGAGTTTCCGGCTCCTGGGGCTGCCAGGACAAAGGGCCATAAACCTGATGGCTTAAAAACTGAGAAACCTGTTTTCTCACAGTTCTGGAGTCCAGAAGTCCACAGTTGAAGGTGTGGGCAGGCCCGTGCTGCCTTCGGAGCTGCTGGAGGAGGCTCCTTCCTTGTCTCTTGCAGCTTCTGGTGATTGCCAGCAGTCATTTGAGTCCCTTGGCTTGTAGATGTGTCACCCCCATCTCTGCCGGCATCCTCACATTGCCCTGTCCTCATGTGTGTCTGTGTCTCGATGTGTGCTCTTCTCTTTTTATAAGGACACCAGTCATTGGATTAAGGGCCCACCGTACACCAGTATGGCCCCATCTTAACTTTGCAACAACCCTATTTCCAAATCAAGTCACAATCTGAGGTTCTGGGAAGATCGCGAAGCGGCAGGGGGGTGGGGGGGAGTGGGGGGCGGCGCAGACACTGTTTGGGCCCCGCAGAAGCAGAACGCCTCCTTCCCCGAGAAGCCTCCCCGCCACACAGGATGGAGGGCTCACACCGATGCCTGCTGATTCTCTCAGCGCGTCCAGCTCCCCTCGCCTCATTGGCACCAACTCGAGTTGCTCTGTCCCCACCCCAGGTGCACCAACATCATAAACAACAATGGTGAGCTGCGTGGCTTTCGCCCTCGGGACCGGGACGACATGGTGAAGAAGATCATCGAGCCCATGGCGTGCGACGGCCTCCGCACCATATGTATTGCCTACCGGGATTTCTCTGCCGCTCAGGAGCCCGACTGGGACAATGAGAACGAGGTCGTGGGCGACCTCACCTGCATAGCCGTCGTGGGCATCGAGGACCCTGTGCGGCCCGAGGTAGCCACCCACTTGTCCGTGAGCAGCCCAGGTGGTTGGATGGGTGAAGGGGCAGCCCTGCTTCCCACCCGGCCTCCACAGCATGGCCCCTTTCTCCTGCCTTCCCTGCTACCACACTACTTCCTGCCGGAGTCCAGAAAGGTCAGGAAACGTGGGCAAGGGCAGGGCCTCGGGGTCCTTCAGATCAGACCTCCCCAGCACACTCGATCCCCCTTGCCCTCCCGCCCTTGCACCCGCCCAGGGCCTCCAGGCCTGGCTCATGCTCTGCCTCCACCAGGTGAGAGACGGCGTCAGTAGAACGTCGACGGCTGTGACCCCCGCAGGACTGATGGACTGGAGAGAGGGGCAAGGGAGAGGGAAGAGTCAGGCGCCGCCCCCAGGGCTCTGGTTCAGAGACGCGGGTGGATGGCAGTGCCATCACTGGCCTGGGAGTCCCAGGGGACCCAGGTTTGGGGGGCAGGGTGCAGTCCTCGGTCAAGGGTTTGGTTGGGGCCGGGTGAGGTTTGGGACCTCCCCATAGAGATGTCAAGTGGGTAGGTAGCTGTAGGAGTGGAGCGCTCAAAGCGGAAGGTCCTGGCAGGAGAGATTCCAGAAGCATCCTTATGTGAGTGATGTCACAGGGTGAGTGTCCAGCTAGGACAGATGTGGGAGGAGCCTTCAAAGAGACTTGAAGGAAGGGTCCCGGCAGGGAGCCAGCACGTGTAGATGGCTTTACCAAGAGCTTTTCTGCAGAGGTAACAGAGAAACTGGGCCGAAGCTGAACAGGCTGCAGAGCGAAGGAGCAAAGGGGAGGCTTGTTGGTCCATAAAGATGGAAGAGCCCTGGAGCAGAGCACCAGTGACAGCTACAGAATGCCAGGCCCCACAGGAAGAATGCGAGGCACAGGGGGCGCAGCTTGCCAGAGGCAGGGAGGGATCCTCTGTCTCCTCCCAGGGCCTCTCCAGTGGCACCCACCTCATGTCAGAAGCAGGGCCACCCTGATCCTGCTGATTAGCCTGGACACATGTATGTGTATGAGCTGCCCTTAGGGTTGCTGACATGAGGAAGGAGACGCTTCTGGGCCCTCCTTCGGGGGACGGGTCTTCATTCACACACTGGATCGGGTACCAAAGACCGTCGGTTCAAAAGTCAGTGCTTGCTACATCCAGACCGTCCGTGACAGCGCACCCCTGTGTTCTGAGGAGACTGGAAGCCTGCCTGGGAGGACGCAGATGGCAGCAGAGGGGAAGGGAGAGACTCCCAGCCAGGGGGACAGGTCTAGCTAAAGTGGACAGTGGGAGAAGCAGCCCAGGAGAGAGGATGCTGCTGTGGGTGACGGGGCCACGCCAGTGGACCTTTCCCTTCATCAGACCAGGAAGAAACTGAGGCACAGAGGAGGAGGCCTGTGTCCACCCAGTGAAGCCGAGCCATAAAGCTGGCTGGCGTTTGATGCTGCTCCGAGGGTGGTGGGTGTCAGAATGTCTCACAGACCCAGGAGGGCAGCGTGCCTGTACTCCCAGGACCCTGAGCCTGCCCCCGCTTCCACCTCAGCTACTTGTCCACTTGCTCCATTTCCCCTAATGAGTAGGGAGAGTGCCTTCTCGCGTGAAACCTACGGCTCTAGGTGTCCCGGGTTTTAGATTGTTGTAGACAGGAGCAGGGTGCGGGGGTGGGGGGGGGGCAAGCGAGAGGTGCCCGGAGCTTGGCCACAAGCCCGCTGACGGCCAGGAGCCTGCCCCAAAGGGACAAGCCTGCCGTCAGCTTTGCCATCTGGCAGGGTAGCTGGGGACAGAGGTTCCTTTCTCGTTTTTCCAGAGCTCACTGACACAGCCACCTTGCCAGCCAGCCTGGTAAGCAGGGCCACCCCTGGCTCAGCAGCTCTGGAGCTCCGTCTCGCAGCGGAAAATGAGGTTGATGGAGCTGGGTGATTTCTATGGTCACCTTTCCAGACACGACTCCAGTGGCGCCCCTCGACAGCGTACAAGTGGCCAGTGCCTTCTCCCAGCCTTACTCGTGGCGTCGGGGCCCGGGTCTGAGTCGTCGCTGGCCCTGGGGCCCAGCACAATGCAGGAGGCCCCCAGGGGTGGGGAGGGTGCTGAGGGGATGAAGGACAAGCCACTTTCCCCCACAGATACCGGCACAGGGACCACAGTGGGGGAGGGGGGTGCTGCAGACCTGGATGGAGGAAATGCGCCTTGCCTCAGCGGCTGCACCCACCTCTCTCATCTCTTCCAGGTCCCTGAAGCTATCCGCAAATGCCAGCGTGCTGGCATCACGGTGCGCATGGTGACCGGGGACAACATCAATACAGCCCGGGCCATCGCGGCCAAGTGTGGCATCATCCAGCCTGGGGAGGACTTCCTGTGCCTGGAGGGGAAGGAGTTCAACCGGCGCATCCGCAATGAGAAAGGCGAGGTAGGCCTGGGCTCCGCTGCCCTCCCACCTCAGTCCAGGGTTCTGGCGGTTTCTCCCCCCGCCCCACCTCTGCTCAGCAGCCCCCATCCAGGCTCTGCAGCATCTGTGTGCTTCCCCCTCCCAGATAGAACAGGAGCGTCTGGACAAGGTGTGGCCCAAGCTGAGGGTCCTCGCCCGATCGTCTCCCACCGACAAACATACTCTGGTCAAAGGTAATGGAGCTTGCCCACTGCTGCTCGCCGCTGCCCCTGCCCCCGCCCCTGCCCGGGGTGCCATGCCACTGGCTGGGTGTGGTCTGCCCCCAGACTCCCGATGCCAAGCTCCAGGGCCTGCCTAGGAAGTGGGGTCCCGGGCTGGAGATGTGCTGCGGGTGGCCATGGCCCTGAACGTGAACTTCAGGAAAATGGCGGTGATGATGGCCGACATGCCAGGGCCCACCCCTCCGCATCTCTGGGCTAATGACACGAGTGGGAGACGCCTCTCGTTGTAACAGATAGGGAAACTGAGGACTTCGAGTCACACAGTGCTGAGCCCCTGCCTTCCACCCAATCACCACCACGTGTCATCTCGCCGGGTGATGGGCCAGGACAGGAGGAGGGGAGCGGGGACTTCACCGCAAAGGCGACCAAAGCACAAGGGGATTGGGGGCAGTGGGCGCAGGCGCAATCCCGAAGGGTTTCCTGAGTCAAGCAGTCGCCCACAGCCCCCAGGCAGGAGCCCAGGGCACAGGCGCCCCACTCTGCATTCCAGGGATCATCGACAGCAGCACTGGCGAGCAGCGGCAGGTGGTGGCCGTGACCGGGGACGGCACCAACGACGGGCCAGCCCTCAAGAAGGCAGATGTGGGCTTTGCCATGGTAAGCCACCCAGTGCCGACCTGGCTCAGCACACCACGTAGGGTCTTGTGTCTCAAGGACATCAGCTCCATGCAGAAAGGTGGGAGCTAGTGCTAAGGCCTCTCTCACCTCCTGGCCTCTCGGGCCTCCACAGGCATTTGGTGACAGTGGGGCCTGTTGTGCACCTGCCTCAGCCAGTCCCGGTCCAGTCTCAGCGAACCGCAGCCCCAACTGTGATGACTGGAGCCCCTTTCCCCCCCCCCCCCCCCCCCCCCCCCGCCGCCCCAATGAGCTTGTCCTCTGTGTTTCTCTCCCGTTGCTTATATGGAGCTAAGTTATTTCTGTAAACCCTCGCCCTGCTGCCCAGGAGCCCGGCCCTGGCACCACAGCCTTCTAGAGTGAGCTCTGCAGAAACCCAGTGAGCCCCTTTCCCCACCTACCACTAAGGAGCACCTGCGCTCTGCCACAGTGACGGTAGCCCACCACGGGCAGGCGCCAGGGGCCCAGGCCAGTCCTGCCCAGAAGCACCGGGCTGAGCTGCACGGGACCCAGCCTCAGGGCGGCAGACGGGGTGTGCAGCTTTGCGCGGCTGTGGCTGTCCCTGCGGCAGGGGCTTTGAGCACCGAGGATGGAGGAGGGCCTCCTCCAGGCACCCGTGTGTGGCCCGGGAAGACCTGTGCTTGCTCTGCCGAAGGCACCCCCCGCCCCCGGACTCATGGAGCTCCCATCTAGCAAGCCGCTCTAGCATGCTGGCACTGGACGGAAGCCTGGTGGTGGCCACGTGGTGGCAGCCGGGCCTTGTACCTGAGGCCACATTGGTGGCCACGGTGGTGTGGCCTCCTCTTTGTCTATGAGCAAAGACCCTTAGCTTGCCCTGAGACAACCTGCCACCTGGAGTGGGAGGTCACGTCGGATGAAACAAGGTCTGTTTCTAGCTGCTGGGGAGCCTCGTTTGGAAGGCCAGCTGGGCGGTAAGCCCCGGTGGGTTGAGTCTTCAAGGGAGCTGGGGAAAGGGCCCGTGGACACTGCGTGTGTGCCCCCCCCCCAGGGCATCGCAGGGACTGACGTGGCCAAGGAGGCCTCTGACATCATCCTGACCGATGACAACTTCACCAGCATCGTCAAGGCAGTCATGTGGGGCCGTAACGTCTACGACAGCATCTCCAAGTTCCTGCAGTTCCAGCTGACCGTCAACGTGGTGGCCGTGATTGTGGCCTTCACGGGTGCCTGCATTACTCAGGTGGGCACTGGGGACCGCCGTGCCCGAGGAAGACCCCGGGCTCTCCTTTCCGCAAGCCTTGGGGCCTGCGGGAGGCAGCCGGTTTCCGGGGCCCCTCCTGCCTCACGCGCCCGGAGCCCGGTGTGGAGAGCCAGCCCAGGAGACCCCACTCCCATGAGTGTGTGGGCCACGAGCGCCCGCCCAGGGGCTCGGCCGTGAGAGCCAGGTCTTTACTTTGTTGCATGTTTTTTTTTGTTTTTAATTGAAATAAAAATCACATACCAAAACCTTCGCCATTTGAGAGTAGACACACTTCAGTGGCATTTCATACATTCACAGTGTGTGCAGACCACTGGCTCTGTCTCGTTTCTGAACGTTTTCATCGCCCCTAAGAAGACCCCATCCCCAGTAGCAGCCGCTCCCCATCCCCCTCCCCCCAGTCCCTGGCACCCGCGGATCTGCTTTCTGTCTTTACAGACTTACCCATTCTGGAACATTCCATGCAGATGGAATCAAATAACACGTGGTCTTTTGTGTCTGGCACATTTCACTCAGCATCGTGTTTTCAAGGTCCATCCGTGTTACAGCATGGATCGGTACTCCGTTCCTTTGGATGGCAGAATAATGCGCCATCGTATGGAGAGAGCCCCTTTCATTTGTCCCTTCCTCCATCGGTGGGCATTTGGGTCATTTCCACCTTTTGGTGACTGTGAAGAACACTGCTGTGAGCATGCGTGTACAAGTCTTTGTGGGGGGAAGTGCTGCTCCTTTCGAGGACCCTCATCCCCGTTTTCAATAGTCCAATTCTCCCCATTAGTGAGGGTCCAGGATTTGTCTCCCTTTGAAAGGTTTTTTTAATGGAGATAAAATTCACATCACGATAGCCATTTGAAAGCGCATAGCTCAGTGACACTCAGTACATTCACAATGTTGTGCCCACTAAAGCTGGCACCCCCCCCCGCCCCTTGCCTTGCCCCAGCTCCTGACACCCACTCACCTGCTCTCTGTCAGTTCTGGAAGTTTCATAGGAATGGAATCATACAGCATGTGGCCCTTTGTGTCTGCCTTTTGTGAGGCTGATTTCGAACCGACTCAGAGGCGATGAGGTCAGGAGAGCACCCATCGCAGTCTGGGGCAACACACGGGCTTGTGAACCTCCTGCTGACTATTGGGGCCACACCTTCTAGATCACTGCCACCAGGTGCGAGAAGGGAGACTGGCAACATTTTAAGAGCAGGAATCTGAAAGTGCGGCGAACACTCGCTGCGAACCTTAACAACAGGGATGGCGGATGTCACGGTTTTCTGGGAAGGGCGGATTCGCTGCGAGTCTGTGCCAGTGACGCCGCCCCCCAGCTGAGTTTCTGCCGGGGAGCGGTGCGCCAGGGCGCTTCCTGGCCCCACGTGAGGATGACTGCCTCCTCTCCACAGGACTCCCCTCTCAAAGCCGTGCAGATGTTGTGGGTGAACTTGATCATGGACACATTTGCCTCTCTGGCCCTGGCGACGGAGCCACCCACCGAGGCGCTGCTGCTGCGGAAACCGTACGGCCGGGACAAGCCCCTGATCTCGCGCACCATGATGAAGAACATCCTGGGCCACGCGGTGTACCAGCTCACCATCATCTTCACACTGCTGTTCGTCGGTAGGTCCGCCCTGGGGCACGCTGCACGGCTGCCGGCTCGCAGGCTCAGACCCTGTCTGGCCGTGGAAGGGACGGATGAGCACTAGGAACCCAGTTCCCCGTGAGGACCACCCCGCCCTCCCCTCCCTGCTGTCCCTCTCTGGGTGTGCCCCGGCGAGGGGTCACAGGGCCCCCCCTGCCAAGCAACTGTCCACTGCTCCCAGACCCAGATCACACCCATCTGTCCGTGCACCCCATGACCATTTCTCCAGGGGACAACAACCATGATCAGGAGAGAGGTGGGGGGAGGGGGGGAGGGCGAGGGGGAGGAGAAAGCAAGGCAGTAGGAGGTAAAGCAGAGGACAGGAAGGAGAGGCCGGAGGAAAGAAGGGAGAAGGGGGAGAGCTGAAGGGGGAGGAGGGAAGGAGGACTGAGGGTCAGGAAGAGAAGGCAGTTGGCTGGGCTTGTTGGTGTTTGTGGCCCCTCTCCCTTAGGTCAGGGCGCTCTCGGCAAGCCACCGGTGCCGTCCTCCAGGACAGCGTTTGCTGACAGACAGGAGTCACGGTGGGGGGGGACCCCACAAATGTCAGGATCGCGGGTGGGGAGAGGGTTCCTCAGCGGGCCCCTTCTCTGATATCTTGGGAGCAGAAGCTTCTCGTGCCCGGCCTGAGGGCCTCTGCCTGGCTGCCCTGGCTTAGGGACAGGGCCGAGGAGGGCGGCCTGCAGCCTCCGATCCCTCCCCAGCCCACCCCCAGCTCACCCTGGCACCCAGAGTTTGTCTTGGCTTCCTTCCTGCCTGCCCTGGGGTTTCGGCACCAGAGCTGTGGGCCAGGCCTTGGCTGTGAGCTCCGTTCCCTCGGCCGTCTCACCACAGACACCCCCCCACCAGCACCCCTCAGGCGACATTGGCCGGGAGCCATGTCCGCTCAGGGTTCCACTCCCTCATGTGCCCCTTGGCCTGCAGGGGAGCTCTTCTTCGACATCGACAGCGGGAGGAACGCGCCCCTGCATTCTCCACCCTCAGAGCACTACACCATCATCTTCAACACGTTCGTCATGATGCAGCTCTTCAACGAGATCAATGCCCGAAAGATCCACGGTGAGCGAAACGTCTTCCATGGCATCTTCAGCAACCCCATCTTCTGCACCATTGTCCTGGGCACCTTTGCAATTCAGGTAGGAGCGCTGACCCCACTCTTACAACAGCTGGGGAAGCGGGGGACCATGCCCTGCCCCCCCGGTGGCCTGCCTGTCCCGCTCAGAGGTGGCTCTGCCCCTCCTGCCTCCCCAGCCCCTGCTGGCATCCCCTGTGACCCCGCGTCCTCTGTCCCCACCTTCAAAACATCATGGCATTGCCTTGGCTTCGCCTGCTGGGTTCCAGAGAGCCCTAGTGTGCCTTACTGAGAACGAACCTCCTCATAGTTCCCTCTGAGTCCCATTTCCAGCACTTGATTCCCTGGTGGGAAGCCACCAGAACTCCAGAAGGTTCCTTTGGACAAGCTTTCTATCCCCAGCGCTGACAAACTGGCCTCTGCCCGCCACCGTGCTGTGGACAGGCTGGTCAGTCAACTCTTCAGGAGAGGCTGAGCATTCAAAAGCAGGGTGTGGCAATAGAAAATGTGAGGTTTGGTGACAGCAACAGGCCAGGATAGTGTCTCCTTACAGTTCTCAAAGGAGGGACCTGCCACGCCTTGGGGGGGCCAACCAGGGAAGCGTCTGGGTCAGTCAGGAGACAGAGGGGGAGCAGGGAGCCTTTACTGTGGTTTCTGGGGGAGAAACTGAGGGGGGTGAGCTGGCTGAGGATTCACTAGTATGAGTAATTTCAGGGTTCTGGGGGACATAAGACTGTCTCTGGTTGTCTGGGTCCTGGCCCTGGGTGATTAAGGCGGGGGCAGTGGCCTGGAAAGGAGAGCACAGTAACGGGGGTGGTTGGTCTGCATGGACAAAGCTCACCCCAGGGAGGGAGGTTCTTCCCTAGGAAGGGGCAATAAGCCAGCAGGAGGCCCAGGCAAGGCGAGTCGGGCGTGTCACTGGGGTATCCAGGGCAAGGTGTGTCCAGCGCAGGCACGCCAGGCAGATGGTCTCGTTTTGTTTTGTTTTGTTTTGTTTTGTTGACTACTATAAAAGTTTATTTAACAAAAAAGTTCGATATGAAAATGCACACGACCTGATTTTTATATTGTAGTAAAACAGGTACTATGGAGGGGACATGTGGAAGCAGTTGATTTCTTCTGATGAACACACCCATTGTTTATACTCGCTCCAAGGCTTCTAACATGATGATACTATTTCCTCGTATTACCACCATTCCAGTATTGTTGTGTTGCCCACTAGTTGCCATCTATCACAAGATTCATAAACGGATCGAACCCCCACAATATTCCTTGGACATGTCTGCCACCATTTAATTTCAATGACAATTTCTTGTCCATAAATTTTTTCAACTCGGGAGGGTGAGCTTTGCTCATGGTGTCTACTGCGCGAGCTCAAAGATGCCTCCAAATGGAATTCGTGGCGTCCCACACGCTACGCCAGGCAGATGTTAAAGCATTACGTTGACAGAAGCTGGAAATGTGGTCCCTGAGGGCTGGAGGAGGGGCCTCAGTAGCTGTGCCTGCCTCCTTCCCACCCCACCCCTGCAGATCGTCATCGTCCAGTTCGGCGGAAAGCCCTTCAGCTGCTCCCCCCTGTCCACGGAGCAGTGGCTCTGGTGCCTGTTCGTTGGCGTTGGGGAGCTGGTCTGGGGACAGGTGAGTGTCTGCCTCGTCACCTTCCCCGGCCCCACCCCTTAGCTGTCTCCTCTACAACAGCACCACAGATGGGCGTGATGTGGGGGGATCGGGGCGCCTCAGGGCCCACACTTAGGAAAGTATTCAGTGTGTTCAAGGGCTCAGGCCTGGGCCATGTCACCACTCAGGTGCAAGGCCACAGGTGACAGCGTCAGCAGAGAAAAGACCAAGGGCCACGGCGGGGATGTCACAAAGCCCCAGCAAAATCACCCACCACTCCCCTTTTCGTGATAGGAGCCAAAAATCATCCCCTAAAACGGGGTGGCTTAGAAAATCCCCACCGAGCTAAACTGAACAACACCCTGCTAAATCCTCCAAGGGGCAAAGAGAAAGTGCCAAGGAAAATGAAGACATACTTTGAGATGATAGAAAGCCATAGGCACACAAGAGGCTTCTGAAAGCATTGCTCGGCAGTTCTGGAGCATTGCTGTAGGAGGCCAAGTCCACGATCCACTCACCTCAGACACAACGAAGTACCACAGACTGGGGGGCTTAAACAGCAGGTGTTATTCTCTCACACCTCTGGAAGCTGGAAGTACAAGATTGAGCCAACGCAGGACCAGGTCCTGGGGAGACCAGGCGTGAGCTTCCAGGTCCCTGGCCGGCGGAGGCGTGCGGCAGTGGCGTTTCTCCCGCAGCCTTGTGTGACAACCCGCACCGGGCACGGCCACCAGGGAAGCCTCCCTGAGCGGCGCTGTCCGGGGACTTCAGTGCGGGGTCGGTCCCGTCGGCCTGGAGCTCCCGCGGGGCTGAGCTTGGAAACTCAGTCTCTGCACCTGCACCGCCACCCCCACCCCCCACCCCGGGACGTGAAGCTGAGAGGTGTGGCCCAGCTCGGTCCCAGGGAGACTGAGACCCTCTCATCAGGCAGGATGGGCCAGGGGCCTAGAGGTCCCCTCTCAGGAGCTGGGGGCCAAGGCCAGGCCTCCCCTCGCTAGAAAACACTCCTTGCTCACAACGGCCTCCACACCCTGCTCCCAGTCAGAGGAAAGAGGCTGGCATCTCTCTCTGGAGAGCAGGACTTGGCACCAGGCAAAGGTGGCCCAGGCATGCAGCCTCGGGGAGCAGAAAAGGACGTCCCATCCCCGGGTCTGCCCGTGTCAGAGGGAGGGGGGAGGTCTGGGTCCCCTGCCGGCCCCAGCAGAGCTCCCGCCCTGAGAGGACCAGCCCTGCTCTGACAGCCACCTGTCTCTGCTGTCCCTCACCTCTGGCCCCCCAGGTCATCGCCACCATCCCCACCAGCCAGCTCAAGTGCCTGAAGGAAGCCGGGCACGGGCCCGGGAAGGATGAGATGACTGACGAGGAGCTGGCCGAGGGGGAGGAAGAGATTGACCACGCCGAGCGGGAGCTCCGCAGAGGCCAGATCCTCTGGTTCCGGGGCCTCAATCGGATTCAGACACAGGTAAGCCGCCGGGCCACTTGGCTACTCTGGCTTTCCCGCCTTGAGAGGGTGGCAAGCAAGCAAGAGGCAGAGAGTGGGCGAGGTGAGCCCCCTACCAACAGGGAAACCCTTGGGTCTCGCTGCCACGGTGACACGGGCCACCCCCAGGTGCGCCTGTTGCCGGGTGTGCTGCCACGGTGGCCTATCTCTGCCACCTCCCTCAGAGCCCAGAGGGCCCCCCCACCGTGCTGGGTGCAGGTGTCAGCTAAAGGTGTGTGTTGTGACCAGTAGTTGTCTCTCGGGGGGCACAGACCACCCACTGTCTGCGTTGCTGCTGGGCCTTGCCTTATTCGCTGGGAACAGCCCAGTCACAGGGAGGTGACGTTCTCGGGATGAGACAGATGCCCGTTACAAATAGCCTTTGGTGAGCTCACCGTTCACGGGTTATAGTGTGTATTCTGTGGAAGCCGACTCGGGCCACAGAGTTGGGCCTTTCTGTTCATCTCAATGGCCACATATCAGAACTGGTGGGGACCAAGACCTCCATAAAGTCAGATGGTCACAATGACCACTCGGCCACGGGCACTTTCCAAGGCTTCACGAGACTTGCCTGCCAGAGCAAACCCTGTTCTTTGCCCCCAACGCCTCCCAGTTGGCCTTCTTGCCAGAATGTTCTGTATTCACTGCCTCTCCACATCCTTTCCTCACACTCACGTGTGATCCCACCACAGCCTGGCCTCTGCCTTCAACGTCCCAGAGGCAGGTGTCACCAAGGCCTGTAAGACCCCTGGCTCCCGGACTCGGGCTGTCCCTTCTTCCCAGCGCCCTTCCGTAAGGGCAGTCAGCCCTGCTCTCTCTGGTGGCCTGCTTTCCCCTCCATCCCACTGTCTGCTCCTCAGCCTTGCTTGCCCGGCTCCCCCACTTCCCGCTGACACCTTGGTCCGCCCTGCTGTGGCCCTCACATGCTGAAAATCCCACAGACCTGGGGGCACTGGACTGTGTAGGGAAGGAAGGAAGAGCAGGTGAGAGCTGAGCCCCAGCCCTCGGCCCCTCTCAACTACAACCCCCCCCTTCCTTCAGCATCTCCTGCAGCCTCTCCTTCAGCCCCGTGGACACTCCTTGGCCAATTCCCCACTGCCTGCTCCTTCCCTTGCAGCCTTCAGATGGCGACCCAGTGCCCCTCACTCCCCATCTCCTCCTGTGCCCAACCGGAAATCCCCAGAGTGCCACCCCTGAACCGAGATGCCCACAGTGGGCTTGGGCCAGACCACAGTCCCTGAGCCCACCTCCTTCCAGCCCCGCAGCACCTGACCGATGGCTCTGTCGCCTCCACTGAGCAAGCCAGAGCCCCAGACTCTCTCCCCGTCTCCCCACACAGCTGGTACATCAGCATGGCCCATCGGCTCAGCTCTGCCCCCTTGAATGCAAGTCCCCAGTCCAGCCACCCCTGCCCCCCATCCTCCTGGCGTAGCCACCAGTGCCTCCGCCTGGATCAAGTCTCCCTGCTGCCTCCCTAGCCCCCAGTGACACCTGTCACTCTCTGCCACTCCTGTGCTTCCCAAAGCCCCGCCTCTGGTCTTTCTCCATGTTCTGTCCAGGACCCCCAGCCCCCATGCCCCTGACCTAGCTCCAGTTGCTTTTCCTCCTGGGGGTCGCACCGGTGGGAAGAACACTACCATGCACTTAGCCCCGCCCTTCTCCAGATTCCTGCTGAGGGCCCCTGGGCCCGGGGCCATGACCGGGGAGCACAGCTCTCCCCAGTATCTGCTTCCAGCCTGTCACACAGCACTACAGGCTCATCCCGAAGAATCTTTTCACAACTCGCCCAAAGCACCCTCAGCAGCCGGTGCCTACCCTGCCTGGGGTCTGACGCTCCCGCACACGCACCTATTGCCATACAGTCCCCGGAAGTCTCATGGGGCTCGGGCTCAGGGCCCCCCACTTCTTTCCTCCCCAGGCCCCAGCCTCAGCTTCAACCACAAGCTCTCAGCCTCCCGCCTGCTCCTCCAGCCTTTGTTGAGCTAGGCCCTCTAACGACCCCATCCAGCTTCTCTTCCTGTCCTAGGGTCAAGTCCAGGGTCCTGACCATGGCCTTCAAGCCCGTGCCTCTTAGCGTCATCCCACTGTGGCCCTTATAACCCCTGCCGCTTTTCCAGACATGCATTCGCTCTGCCTCCATGCTGGCCACTTCCCGGGCCCCAGGACACCCCAGCTCCCACTGTGTTCCCTGGGGGCACCTCCTCCTCCTGCAGCGGCCTGCTCACAGAGCACCACCTCGTGAAGCCTTCTCAGAGTCCACTCCCTCCTGCCCCTGTAGGCCCCAGGCAGCTGTCCGGGCTCTCAGCCCAGGGCCCTGGAATCAGGGAAGAGCAGAGTACCCCAGGGAACTTTCCAAAGCGGCAGAGTCCTGGGCTGCTCCCAGCGCTTGCGATATTGTAGGGCTGGGTGAGGTGATCCCCAGTAAGTCCACGTTTAAGGAGCTCCCCAGGGATGCAAGGGGCTTCTCCGATGGAGAAGCAGGAGGCCAGGTCTCTGGCTCATTCCTCTTCGCGTCCCGAGCACCTAGGCCGGCATGGCCAGGGAAGAGTGTCTTAGGTCTGAATGGAATGCTGAGCGCCCAGGGGAGGAGCAGGAACAACTTTGTAGCCAGATATCCCGGTCTCCCCTCACTGCCTCACACCCAACTGTGAGCCCCTGCGCACCCCATCCTGGCCCCACGGGCTCTTGTCTGTCATGCCCCAGTTCATGCTGCAGAGCCCAGAGCCAACCCTAGCTGGTGGTCGCTTTTCTAGCAGCTGAGACGGCAGCCCTGCCCAGTGTGAGGCATCTGGGGGCTGTGCGTCCGTGTCTTCTGTGTGCCTGGGGGCTCTGGGGCCTGCCCCGTGGCCTGGCTAGTAGAACGGGTCTCCTCAGTCAGAGTCTTGGAGTTCCAGGCCGTTCTGATTATCACGCCCACATAGACCCGGGCCAGTCAGGTCCCTACTTTGTACATGATGAAATGGGGCCCAGAGAAAAGGGGCCTTGCCCCAGGTCACCCACTGAGAGTCTCCGTCCCCTGATCCGCTAGCATATGCCTTGCCCTCTCTCCATAGAGCCACGCTTCCCCCCACAGGACCGTCACATTGTCACATCAGATTCACGCTCCTCAAGAATGCTGAGCCAATTGGCTACTTTAGCTAATTTAAGAGCATCTGTTCTTTTTGATTCAAAATACCTGCTTGAAAAGCAGAACTCGAGTCCCCCAGCTTGTATGTAATACCCCAAGCCAAGGGAAACCTGCCCTAGGCAGCTGGCCCTGGATTTCTGGATTCTGCGAACAACAAACTTGCTCCCCAGACTGCTCCCCAGCACAGCTTTTCACGTTGCTAAGTGAAGGCATTTTGTAACCTGCTGCCTGCTCTCACCACCATTCCACACTAACATATCAATACACCAAAGACTTGCGGGGGGGGGGGGGGGGGGGGGGGCCTTAAAAAAAAAAAAAAAAAAAAAAAAGAGTCCTTAAAACTGTGAACGCGGAGCTTTGCGAAGCAGTCATGATGCGGCCTACTTCCCATTCCATTATGAACCAATGAGAAGCTTCAGCAGCAACTGGGCTTTTGAGGGGTGGGGGGGGCAATTTGGAGGTATTTTGACTGATACCGTCATCCCATTGGGACACCATGAGGAGAGGTCAAATCAGAGGCAGAAAAAGCATCTTTTCCTTCCCTTGTCGCCTTTGCTGCCTGAAGAGTGCCCTCTCGAGACAGACCTTAGAAACCTCTTGGCAATCTAGGGAGGAGAGGGCCCCCGGAGAGAGAGTGGCATGCGGCATGGGTCATCTTCCTTCAGTGCGTTGGGGCAGTCCCCTGTGGCCGCTCAGTGTGCCTTACGCGTGGGTCTCAGTCCCTTGCTGAAGAGCAGCTTGTGTTGGTGGAAGGGAGCTCGACGGCAGAGTACATGGCAAAAGTCTTTTCCACCGCGCGTCTAGGAGTTGAAATGATGCACAACTTCATTTTGGTTGGGGTGAAGGGGGTCCGGGTCCTCAAGCTGCCTGCTTCCAAGAAGCCTGGCCCCGTGCCAGACACTGCAGGGCTTGGGGGTGGCACAGGGCCCCTCGCTCTGGGCCGAGAGTAGGTAGCCAGTGTGCATCAGGCTCCAGAATTGCATATCTGCTTTGCTGCTCATGTCATCCAGTGAACCATACGGCACTTTCCAGAAATCAGATCCACCTTCTAAGGCCAAAAGATTCCGCCCCACCCCACCCCTGGAAGGCATTCCCAAAGAGGCAGCTGAAAGGGTGCCACGCTAGGCTGGCCTCCTAGAACCTAGGCACACAGTCTCCGAGGGGGAAAACATTCAGTGCGGCCACTCAGCCACAGGTCTGATTCACCCCCCAGCCATCCAGGCCCCTGAAAGATGGGGTCAGGAAGTCAGAAGACAATGGGACTCCTAGCGAGTTCACCACATGGGTCTCACTTCCCATAGACCCACTTCCCTTTTGACACCTGGGAAGCTTCCAGGGTGGGGGACAAAGCAAAAGCCATCTTTGCCCCCAGGACCCTCCGATCTCTCTGCTCTCCCCCCTGCCGTGCCTGTGGCTCTGTAGAAAGGAGCCCCATAAGCCAAAGCAGGTGCTTTTGCAAAATCTCCCCTCTCTCTTTTTAAGTCCATTCTTTCACTGAGGCTGCCCACAGGGGTGCCCCCTCCATCACTCGGATGAGCCACAGAAGGAGAGCGATGTCTACACCTCCCCACAAGGCAGGGCAGGCCGGCGTAGTGAGAAGCAGTGGACGTCTGTTGCTTAGAGCGATGTAAACCAAGGACAGGCTGGGGAAGGGCCCCCGTACGCACACCCTCGGCGAGCACAGCCGCAGGGAGACTCGTCCTCATGGGAGCGTGTCATATCCCTCCGGTCTGCTGGGGCAGGAAACAGGCTGGAGAGCTACTGACCTAGGATAACAAACATTACCAGCCTCAGGTAGTAGATGACAAGTGGCCCGCCAGGAGCAGATGGTTCACTCCCCGCCCTCCCGGTCTTCTGAGGGCTAATCATTCACTCAGCAAACCCTCCCTCTCTTGGTGGTGACACAGAGGCTGGCCTCAGCCACGACCACGGCCCCCGTCAGAAGCACTGTCAGCTCCCAGGGAGCGGGGCGACCTAGATGAGGCTTTGCTGTCACAGTATGTCCCCGGCGTGGCCCCTGTCCTCACCCAACCCCACCCCTGTGTGGTAGTCGGGACAACAGTGCAAGCCAAACTTTATCTCATTTTCTCTCCCACAGATGGAGGTAGTGAGTACCTTCAAGAGAAGCGGTTCATTTCAGGGTGCTGTGCGCCGGCGGTCTTCGGTCCTCAGCCAGCTCCATGACGTAACCAATCTTTCTACCCCTACTCACGTAATTCTCTCTGCTGCCAATCCCACCAGTGCCGCTGGGAGTGAGTCTTGAGTCCCCTTTTCTCTCATAAATGGCATCTCTGGGGGAGAAAAAGCCTCCCCGCCTCTTCCTTCTCTTTTTTCCAGTCTTGCACCCTCTGCTCACGGTGGCTTTTCCGTTCTTCCTTCACTGCCCTGTCCAGTCCTTCCCGCCCAGACGGTGTGTCTCTCCAGAGCCATATTCTCTTACGAAATGTACTGAATCCATGGCACTGCTGGACCTTCTGTTCTTTTCTTTGTTGGGTTTTTTGGTTTTCATTTAGCACTCCTTCTGTCATTGGTTTTCTTTTCTTGAACTTGTCTGCATCTGCCGATGGTTCTTCATGAACTTGGGCCCGCTTCTGGTGGTGTCTGGTGTCAGGGAGGGGCTTTGGTCGGTGTTCTGTGGGGCAGCCAAGGGCAGGCGTGCAGACTCAGGGCTGCCTTCCAGGGCGGGGCGGGGGGGAGGGGGGACAAGTGCCATCATTCACGGCAGAATAATCCAGCCCGCCTGCTTGGGACTAAGTGGCAGCTTCCAGAACTCCCCTGGAGGTGGTCTCCAGAGGCAGGAGACCGGATGTAGGCTTCGGGAAGCCACGGTCACACGTCCCCAGGTGGGCTCGGTGGTGGCCAGTTGCTTCTGCTCGGGGGCTACCTGCCCCATAGGCCTTTGCCCTGAGCCCACGGCATTAGAGGTATCCGAGGTGTGCCTTGAACTGGAGTCCTCCTCACACCCGGAGCCAGCACTCTGCCACGTTTCCACTTGTTCCCAAAGCACCTTTGCTCTTTTCTGAACAGGCCTCAGGATTGGAAGGTCTTAGCCTGATCCGGTCCACATTCTCTCTCTTCCTTCCTCTGAGAAGCTGGGAGAGGCAGATTCCCTTCTATATGTTCCAATGAAAACTTCCCACCATGTTGGTCACATTTTAAAGAGAACCCAGGGGCTGTCCTAAAAGAGGTAGAAACTTCCATGATTGCTCACATCTTTTTACAAAAACAAAAGGAAAGCTACAAGAGCCCTGAACCCGCCACCCCATGGTTTCCCTAACGAGCGAGAATGCAGGGAACGGTGTGGGCCCTGCTCCCTCCCAGCGCCTCCTGCTTCTCGTAACAAACTCGAGGTTTCAAAGACCAAACAGTAAACCTTCAAGCATGAGCCCAGAGCTCTTGCTGGGATGGTTCGATGCTACCTCTTTCCTTTCCTTCCAGTGAAACCCGGCAACTCTCACCTCCGTGAACACATCACTTCCCCACAGACGGGAGCCATTAACTATGCCTTTTTCCCTCACCAGACTCGGATTTTCTTTTTTCTTGATTTCTTCTCTTTCCCTTTTTTCTTTTGTCTTGTCTTCTTCCCCCCCCCCCGCCCCTTTTTTAATTTTTCTTCCTCTTTTTTTTTCTTTTTCTTTTTTTAGGAACTGGTGAGAGGTCCCCAGTGGGGGGCATCCCTCCTCTTGCTTACACTGTTGTTTCAGGCCACTCTGCCCTTTAAGGAAGGGGTGTGGGCTGCACCAGTCCCCGCTGGACCACCTTGTCCCCTTCGGAAACAGCACGCACATGTGCGCGCGCACACACACACACACACACACACACTCCCCCATCCCCACACCACAGGCCACACACACCTCCAGCTCCCCTGCACACTCACTGGGCCTCCCCGGCTGGGCCACAAATACTGACCGTCAGCCATCACAGATCGGCTGGAAAGCTCCGGCCTCGTCTCAGAAGGGTCTTGCCACCACTCCACCCGGAGAGGTCTGCAGGAGGCTCAGCTACAGTCAGTTGAGGACAGAACTGGTACGCGGCCTCCCAGGAGCGCCTCAGCTAGGGCCTGGCTGAGGCAGCAGCGCCTTCCTTCCCGGAAATGAAGGGACAAGAGAGGGCGCGGGTCCGCCCAAGGGGCACATACCGACCTGCCCCTGTCCCTCCCTCTCCCTCGACTTTTTCCACGTGTTTCTTTGCCATCTCTCTCTGCACTTCCCGTCTGTCTGTCCACCTGTCTGTTGACTTGAACGGGGAAAGGCAGCTGACAGAGCCCCCACTCCTCATGCCCCTCAGGCCTTCTCCCCTCCAGGCCCAGCCCGGGCCTCCCCTCTGAGAACCTGTCTCTTGGTTCCTTTCGGATTCCTTGGGCTTTCTCCCTGGCAGTAGCCTCTTTCTCTCCTCTCTTTCTGGCACCTTCGTTCCTTCTGCAACCGTCTGTCACCCCACTTCCCACTTTGGGGAGCCCAGCAGTGCCTGGTAAGAACAGTTCGAGAGATGCCACCCCTTCCACTGGTCAAGAGCTACTCCAGGGGGATAGAACTAGTGCCTGACCAAAAAAAAAGGGGGGGGGTCTACTGTCCCATCCACACCCCATGGTGCCGGGTGAGGAACAGGTGACAGGACCCCAGTGAGAGCTGAGCACCTTCTGTCTGAGGAGGGTGCTGGTGTGGTAGCAAGGGCCCACCTCAGAAAGGAAGCTCCCGCACTGTGGCGGAAGGTGCTGGCTGGAGGCCCGGGCAACACCAGGGGACATGCCTGCTTCTGGACGCCACCAACCAAAACCACTGCGGGGCAGATTGGTTGGGGACTCTGGACTGGCTCCCCCAGTCCAAGCTGTGAGGACCTAGAGAAATCATTAAGCCCAGCACCCTCATTGTACAAAGCAGAAGAAGCCCTAGCACACGGGCCAGGAGGGCTAGCCACTGGCCCTCACCCTCTCTTGGAACTTACCAGAAGGAAGGCAAGGTGCAGATCACGACAGAGCTCTAAGCCTAGCCGAGAGGCCGAGTCGTAGAGGGTGCAGTGGTTACAGGCCACAAGTTTTCCTAAGGAAAACCCCAGCTCTTATGAGAAGGTTCCCGCCCGCTTTCCCCACAGGCCAGCCGGCCTGGCCCTAACCCCCATGCCGGCACAAGTCTCTCCAGCACGCCAGGGCCTCTGATCTGACATCCCTTCCGCTGAGAATGTCAGGCTCTCCAGGTGGAAGGCCTTGCGCAGGCTGCGTACGAGGAGCCTCGGGGCCAGAGGGATAGGTGACGTCGCTCACCAATGTAGGTTCCAGCACGTAGTACCAATGCCAAGAGGTGGCTGGAGGAGATCCTCGGGGCAGGAGGGAAAGGAGAGCTCCCTAGAGGGGTGACCAGGGAGGGTTGGAGATGAGAGGTCTTTGGGGCTCAGCACACCCACCCTCACACCCACCTACCCTTTCCAGCCAACCTGACCCCCCAGGCTTCCCACGCCCACATGCCTGCTGCTTCTGGATTTGGGAGCCCCACGCAGCACCTACTCCTCTGGCCACACACAATGACCTTGCAGCCCCAGCATGGTTCACTGAGCCTTTGCATCCTCAGCTGGGGTGTCACACCTGCCCTTCACGGCTGCCACCTCCTGGCATGGGACCTCAGCCATCGCCCGGAGGCCAGCCCCTGTGAGTGGCTTGATCAATCAGCACTCTCCGTCTTATGGAAACTAACGGAGCCCAATCCCATCGCCCCGCCCCCGCTGCTAGGCCAGCCAGCCCTGCCCCTGCCCCAGTCGTACTCTCACCCACGCTTGGTTGGCCCCACTCCCCAGGCTGGGCGCGAGGATCCAGAGGTGTGGCCAGAGATGGGGTATTGTGTGCACGCAGGTTTACTCCCAAGCAGCAAGCTGGGTGCCAGATAGATGGCTGCCCCCGGGGGTGAGCGGAGACACACAGACACGCCGCAGCGCCCCCTCCCACCCACACTTCCAAAGCCTGCTCCCCACCAGGGTGCCCCGATGGCTCCCCCATCTCATCAGGCAGCAGCACTGGGCCTCCGTACTCAAACAGAGAGGGCTCCTAACCCAGCCAGGCGACGGGCAGGGACGGGCAGCAAATCTGGTCAGATGCGGCCAGAGGGGCTGTTTAGTTGTGACTGACCGTGCCAGAAACAGATCGTAGCAGTTGCTCTATTTTAATTGCCAACACGAAAGCCTTCCATCCAACTTGGCAAAGCCGAGGCCAGGTAAGCCCCAACGATTTCCTTGGACACACCCTCCCGGAGCCTGGGGAAGCAAGCTCATCACACACTTGCAGGGCAGCAGCTCCCATGGTTAAGCCAAGCCCGCGGAGGAAGGAGCCTTGCAAAGTGAAAGCGCCTTTCTCAGGAAGTTCGTTGATTTCAAGCCAAGTCTCTCCACTTTGGGTTTCCGCGAACAGTGTGCTGGCATTTCTTCTCAGCTATGTGACAGCTTTGTTTCCACATTAGGAATAGTGTCAGCCCTGCCCGGCCCGAGCCTTCCTGCAACCAATGAGCCCTACCACAGGGAGGAACCGTCCAGCCAATTCCTAAAGCACATGCTAGCTCGCAGCCTAAGGCCGACCCCAGAACCCCTGCTCCGAGCCCTCCCCAGTAGGCACTTCCAGGCTGACTCCCAGGGCTGGGAGCCAGAGCCCAGGAAGCTCAAGACTTATTCGAGGCCCTGCAGCTGGACATGACCAGGATGAAAAGCAAGGCCGACCACCTGAAAGGCCCAGGACTCACCCCATGCCTGGGTCAGCTCAGTGCCAACAGCTTGTTGACATCAGCAGCATGAGTCTGGACTCTCCCAGTCCTGGGCACAGATGCATGCACACAGGATGGGAGGTAATCTTCACAGAACTTGCCAACCGTTAGCATTTTTGACTTGCCAACATGCACGGAGCCCTGTCTTTAGTTGGTTTGGGGTTCGATCCCTCCCTCAGTGAAAGGGCCAGCTCTAATTCCATGGTGAGGAAAGGGAACCTTCCTCTTTGATTGTGGGTAAGTCACCCCACAGCTCTTTGTGTTGCCTTCAAGCCCTGATCCACCCTCATGCCTACAGGGACGATTTGGGACCTGGGAACCCCAAAGTTCCTGGAAAGCAGTTCCCCTGGCTCTGCCCAGCTGCTATGTTCAGAATTTGCTGTAAACCCAAAGCCCGAATGCCAGGAGAGCAGAAAGTCCCCTCCCTCCTGCAGAAGATTCTGGA